GTTAAGGTTAATGCCAAGTGTTGGCAAAAAACTTCTCAATAGTTAGTGAATATAAACCTCACCACTTCAAACACTTTCTCCATAAGACATAGGTGACTTGATAGTAGGAACAAATAAGGGACAATTTCAATTCCATCATCACACATTTCATATTTGGTCAAGTTGTAATTTTGCAAAACCCCCCTTTTAAATTAAATTAATTATGGTCATTAATTAAATACAATTTCACTCATGAAGTTGTCAGTGCAAATATGCTATGAAAATATAGTGTCCTTATATATGATTATGTGCATGTAAGGTATTCCTAGCACAAGTATGTTGTATGCTTTTATTTCTATCTATATGCTTGAGTGAGGTAACATTTTGTAGAGTTAATAATAGTATAGAGATCTAATATTAATGTTTTTTGATTTGTAAAGGTAGGAATATCTCTTATTCTCTAATAATAAAATTTGTTGGTTAAAGAAATTAATTAAAAAAAAACTCTATAAGAATGTGTATTTCTTTGGGTGTAAGAAATAATTAAATATTTCATGAATAGATAATAAATAAGATATTTAATAAAATTACGAGGACCATGGTTCACCATGGTTTTTATAAAATTAGAGGAATAAAAAAAATTATTAAAGAATAAAGATGTGAGTGGTGCACATTTTTTTGAATTAATTTAAATTTATATTTATATTTTAATAAAATTCTTTTTCACTAATGTGTGATTACTATTACAATCACGATTTTTTTTTTATTTCTCAAGTTCAATTATAATCTAATTGTGACAGAAAAATTCGTTATCTATTGTATTTTTTTGTGATAAATTGTATATATCATCACAAAATGTAATTGTTACAAATAAAAAAGTTTAGTTACAAATAAAACTTGGTATATGTGACAAAAATTAATAATTTGTAACTAATATTTTCTTAGTAACTAATAGTTAACTTATAGTGACAATTTTGATTATAACAAATTTATTTTATTTATTGTGACAAATTTTTTGTAACTGAATAAGTTTTGCGTTAAAATTATATATTTGAATTTTATAAATTAGTATTAGAGACAAATATCTTGAATTAGTTACAAATATAAAAGATATTAGTGATGAATTAGAAATTAGTTACTATTTTTAGTCACAAAATGTTTCGTTTTCTT